GGCCTGTGTTATTTGGTTATTTCTTTTTGAAAAACGTACACGACTTTTGAGTAAAATATTAAACGTACAAGTTTAACCTTGAAAAGCATTGGTAGTTTTAATAAAAAAACATTACATAAAAACGTCTTAATAGTGCAATGAAATAGTATGTTTTTATAACAAAGTTACATCGGGCTATCTACGAACCGCTGATTTTAGCGTTGTAAATCCGAAGACCTTCCGGGGAACATGAAATAGTAACATTGTTTGTAAAAGTAGTTATTTTTCCAAAATGGTAGCAAAATAAACGTGAACTTCGTTTTTACTAATTCTCGATAAGTCTTAAACAACCAGGAGGAAATAATGCTTTATTTTGGCATTCTTGGTCTTTTTAATTTAAACGAAATGTAATGATTGTTTTATAAAAAAAATGACACTTTTCGAATTTTGCTGTCCATTTTTCTCATTGCCTTTTAATATTTTTAACCGGAAAAATATATTATGTTATCTAAAAATTACAAAACTTATACAATACACGTGAGCAGCACAAAAGCAGCTTTGCGCTTTTATTTTAAAATTAATGTAAATACTTAGCCGCGGCTCGTAGAACGGCTCTGAGTTTTTTTTTTTTTCCAAGTACAAACTTTTAGTTCATAGCTCCGTAATCTATTGATCAATTTGAGATCTAATTACAGTTTTGGACTCAAGATGTGTATTTGATCACTACCAAGGCCTCATAGATTAACTTACTCTAATCCTGCCTAAAATAATTTCAGTTTTAGGATAGGCTGGTAAAGATCCTGATGAGTAATAAAATTGAATCGGGTAAAAAAAAGGGTCTCACAGATCAATTTAATCTAATCCTGCCAAAAATAATTTCAATTGCTGCGGCTATCGAGGATTCCCTCTTGTTTTATATTAATGCACAATAATCCTTGATAATCCAAGTCTTTCATGTCTGTTTCTTCAATCCGGAATAAACTGTAAACTACCAGCAGTACATAAGATCTTTTGAAATGATGGATTATTGTTAGACTAATAATGCACGTTAAAAATAATTATTTTTCGATACAAACATATAACAATGTGTATTTTAAGTACATATTTCGGTACAGTAGATCGATTGGATGAGAGAACATTAGGTTTATACGTGATTTTTCTTATAAAAAGTTTGACAAGATTATTTAATCAGTATACTTAGTTGTTTCCTTTTCAATATGCATTCTATTTACTTATATGTTTACTCTCTCTAAAGGTACTTTTATGCTACCGTTTATTTTTTACAACATTTGCTGTATTACTCAGTTCTCACTGGCTTAGAGTTGTATGATAACATTTAAAATAATACGGTTTACTCTTGTCAGACGTAAACTCGTTTAATATATGTAATCCTTTGATTATCTATATGAATACATAATATATCTACGTTTATAATATAAATTCGGCTATTTACTCTCTCTAATAGCTGCATGGATGAAAATCGAATAAAAGATGTGGTAAAATATGCCGACGTTGGTTATATAGCTTCTTTGATCTCTTGCTTAATACTAAGTTTTAACTTCAGTTCTGTGTTATAGGCTTAGGGTAAAACACTAATAGCATAAACTATATAGTGCCACTCTGGTCCTTAGTGATACATAAATTACGGGGTAGAAGTGTAATTTTCATGCGTATGACTTTTGAGGTCCTTCAGCTTGGACTTTAACAACGAACAATGTTTTCTCAAGGCTTAGGTACATAAATATGTTTGTGTCGAAAACAACATAGCAATATTAATTAATGTTTTCTCTTTTTTATTTTTTTTTCAATAAAATATGTTTAAGGTTTTATTCTCCGTTAAACATTTAGTATTTTGACAGCAGAGAGTAGATGCAGATTATCTTCAAATTTTGGTTATGAAAAATATGAATGATTAAGAAGAGTTAACTTATTGAAGTATTTATTTGTTTGTTTTAGAACAAAGCCACACTGGGCTATCTGCTGTGTCCACTACGGGAATTCGAACCCTTGTATTTATCGCTCTAAGTCCGTAGACACACCGAGGGACTTTAATAAAGTTGGTAGGTCATTAGATCTCCCCGTCCACACTTGATAATGAGTTTATTATCAACAAACAGTTCAAAGATGATAACTTCTTGCACTGCAATCGCATATTTCAATATTCTTTTACGTCACGCTTCTTCCAATAATATGTCGACCACAATAGCAGTCGTTAGAATATGGCACTTTAGTGTAATCATAGCACTTGTATATAAAAACATCTGAGTTTAGTTCATTTCTAACTAATTCTTAATAGTCAAAACCTCGCCTTCATCTTCGTTACTTTTCCAAGTTTTCAACGAAGCGGGTGTTTAAGGAAGTTATGATCAGTAATCGAATTCGCCATCTTGTTGCCTGTCTGGTATTGAAAATATTGAGAACACAGAATTTAACAGTGAAACATTGAATACGGATTGACTAAACAGAGCAGAAGCTGATATTTCATTATATGTTTATTACAAATTTATGTTGCTGCAAATATATCGGCTTCATAAACCAGCATGCAAGGCTCTTTTTTCCCCCCTTTCTAACGATGTGGCACAACTGAATTTTTTCTTTTCATCTCACAGAAAACAAAATACACATCCGTACAGGATTCCACATAGTGTGTAAGTGTACTCCCGATGTTCTCGTTACAACTGTTGTGATCTAAACCATTTTTATCACACACAATTTATGGGCCTGACACAGCGGATCGCTGGTTTGAATCCCGTACCGAACATGCTAACCCTTTCAACTGTGGGGACGCTATAATGTGGCGGTCAATTCCATTACTCGTTGATAAAGAGTTAGCAGTTGGGGGTGCTGACTAGCTGCCTTCCCTCTAGTCTATCACTTCAAAATTAGGGACGGCTAAAGCAGATAGCCCTTAAATAGCTTTGCGCAAAATTCAACAATCAGACATAATTTCTGTACGGATGTGTTTTAGTAATATTATATGTAATATTTACTTTCAAAAAATTAATTTCGATTTTTGTATATTTACTCCACCACAAAAAAGAAAGAAAAATCTTTCTTTACAACATTTAGAATACTCCTGGAATCATGTGTAAACACGGGTGTATGTATGATATGATAACCACGACTGATACACGTGTTTTAAGACGCCTATCAATCATTTAAGCATGTTAGACAAGTTAAAGTACACTGTGTCAGATACCAATATACTTAGAAAATATACACTCAGATTAACGTGGTTGTTGTATAACCCACTTGCAAACAAAATTCTTTAGGATATGACTTGCACTTTGTCATACAACAATTAGTTACTACGAAACACGAAGTTCCGATGCCCATTTTGTACTCAACTACGCTGTATGATATACAGAAGTATGTCTAATCAGTTAATTATTATCAAACGAAAACTCGCAATCGCATGAAATCGAAACGATGTCGAGATTAATCTTCGTAATGTGCAAAGTAGAGGATCTTAAAATGTACTCGAAGATTACGTGATTTAATTTAACTCTCGAATAAACATTTTTTTTCCCAAATGCTTATAGTGTTTAGGATTTATTTCATTAGAGAATCACTAATGACATATGAGTCCCTTAAGAAAGGTGTAAAAAAATAAAGTCAATATTGCAATTAATCCCATTAATTACTACTGTGGTTTTATATGCATTTCACACAGAAAATGAATGATTCCGCTCATTTTTATTTTAGTGAGTTTTATGCTCTAAGTGTTGTAACTAGCAAAAACATAAAGTTATTATCTAATATGATGCATTATGTGGATCCCCACCAATAGTAGACGATATACAAACAAGAGAATAATTTGAGGATCAGTCTCGAGTAAATATAATGTGTTTTTTAGATGAATATATAACTTGGAAACATTTAACACTTTAGGGTGTCTTTAGAAAAAGCCAAAATACAAAAACAAAATTAACATTTTTTATAAACCGTATCATTTTCATTTAGTCTGTTTCCTTTTATAGTGCGAACAGAATAAGATTAATTATCATGGTTAACCATTGTTAAGATCATAAAATATATTTTGTTGGAGTATGAAGGAATGATTACCAGCCATTAACGTAATTCTTTGTATCACGTTCAGAAATCAACATATACTTACCTTCAAAGAATTTTCATTATATCTACCCCAAGTGAGTGAAGCATTTTAGGGCAATTAAAAAAATGGGACTGTTCCTCCTGATCTTTAACCTTGTGACTTGTGTGACTGATTAAATAAAAGGACAGGAGATTGTTTGGTAAACAAGACCTAATTCTATCCAATACACAAGTTTCAAGACACCCGTCACTCAGCGCTAATCAATAACTACCGAAATGTTGAAACGTACTGTGTAGAAATACACGACCACATTTCTTTAGAGGGACAGGGTATAGCACAGTTTCTGAATCATAAATCACACTCTGATAAGAAATATACGTCTATACGTTTGTGTGAAAAAGTCTGATGGTCATTCAAACCCAGTAATGCATTAACTAAATTAGCTCTTGTGCACAGTTCTACAGGAATTATTTGACTACAAATTAAAAGTTAACATTTTTATCTCACATAGTATTAGAAAACTTTTTTGAATGTAGTAAGCAGTTCTTTTTTTTGATGTAATCTTCGTAGAATGAATGCGGGTTTCATTAAAAATATGCTAATACAAGAGAAGTGATGTTTCGCAGATACTTTTCCTAGATCTTAATTCAGATAAGTGAGAAGATAAGCAGATGGTGACCGATCACGTGAGGTTGATTATAACTTTGTGCCTATTCATTCCGTCAGAACTTAATCTTGTAGTTGTTATTAATGTATCAAGTGAAAACCTGTTTCTAAAGGAAATTGAGAATTTTCTAGCATCTTATGAATACTTTTTCTATTCTCTAGAAACTTTTATCCATTATACTTGATTAATTCTTCTAAATTACTTTTTTTTAATGAAAAATATTGCGTTGTTAATAAGTTGCATTCTTCCAGTATGTATAAATTATTCTGCACTACATACTCAAAGCTAATAAATGAACATATTCATATTTACGTTTGAAAGGACAAAATAGTAAGCAATGTGGACCACTATGAAAGTAATTCTATAAACAGAAGTATTTATATATGTATAACTAAAAGTTTGCACCAATTTCAGCTGTTATAAAAATGGGTGACAGTGAATCCCCTTTAGTCGGACGAAGCCCTTATAGCAGTGGGCTATGCTTGCTAGCCGCTCTTCTTCCAAGTTAGTATTTTAAAATAAAGGGTGGTTATATCTAACATGACTCTTTAACTCGTGTGTGCAGAATGTTAAAATTACGATTCCAAAAGCAGTGACACATGTCTATATCGTACCATCTTTTGGTTTCAGCATTATCAATAGGATTTAAGTCTTACAATCACTTCTTTTACCAGCAATTGTGTTCTATGTGATGGTCCTGGTTATAGACTATTGCTCAGTGGTGCAATTTCCACTGTTGAAAGCTTTTACATAACACACTAAGATCAATTTTCTCCCCATCCCCGCCTCAACCACTTCTGTATCTGTCGTATTCCAGACGACCTGGCGAGTTCTGATATCGGTTGATAGGCTTCGTCGACACTGATATAGCAGACATGGGTGATTGCAGGATGGTGCAAGAAAATCATCTCCCCCCCGGAATCTCAAAAGAAAATTTATTTGAATAATTTATAACAAGATGTATTAGAAAATAATACTATTCAAATATAAATGAAGAAATTTGGTGTATACGAATAAGCCATAATCAGCCAGAGCATCGCGATGGCTTACCCCAGCTGGAATAAATTCTGCGGACGCCCATGATAGCATATATGATAAAGTTAGCATATTGTTATACAGTCTACTTAGCTTTCAATCATAAGTTCTTGAAAATTTTGCAAGCTTTCCAAATTTCATCAATCGTGTCTCAAAAAAAGGCTCTCAAGACACAAAAGTCCATGGAAAATGTCGATGAATGGTATAGAATAAAGTTTTGTTTGTATATTTGCATACTGTGGAGGAACTAGCTACTTGACTTTGGCGTGTATGTTGATGCTTTGTCTTGACGGAGCCGCTATGCCTTATTGGCATTCAGCCCTTATAAAGACGGTATTTCCTCATTGTATAGCTATTTCACTACGGTATTCTGTAATTATGGTTCATCTCGGCATATTTATTAATTATTCAAAGTTTCATTTACCACGTATAGTTGCAATCTACAACAATCTTAAATCTCTTTCTAACATTTTCGCGATATGCTATTGTATCATATTTGAAGTGTTGTATCACCAATAGGACGATAATACATCGCCCAGACTTAGTTTCAGATAGTTAAGTTGGTATATACTTCGTCTAATGTAACGGCACACTTCCATTGCCACCTGCTCGTACACTTTTCGAACAGCTGGTCTCACATTTGGATTTTGAGAGAACCATGTGAACTCATTTTGACCGTTTTTGTACAACTAATTCTGCGTGAATTACCTTATTTACAGTTTCAAGGAAGGTTCTTACTTTAGCTGCAATGTATTGTTGTGTTTTTGAATTGCTTCTGATGACAAGCTGTTCAACTTTATTCACTACTTTCAGCAAAGTAGCCTGCTTTCCTTTTCTTTATTGATTCGGTTCAGCAATGCAGACATCTCTTTCTTGGAAACGCTACAATTTCGTGCCTTACATGCTCTTATAGCCATGAAGTAGGAAAACTTGGCGTTAGAAAGTTCTGTATGTAATCTTCTTTGAAAGGGACGATTTTAGGCGTCATTTTTACTTGCAAGTCATTACACTTCCATTGAATTGCAACAAGAGGGTCAGGTCTTTTGAAATGTGTTGCCACAGGACACGGGGAAGGTCAGGACCAAAATGACTGGATATGCTAATTGTTACATAGATCATGAACAGCTTTCTGTATAAACCCCTTTTATATGCGGCTCAAACAGGGGAACACGTGTTTTGCATATATTTATTCTCTCTGATAGTAAAGTATGTTAGTTTAAAAAAAGTATGAAAAGAAAAGTTTTCAGTTATAACACACACACAAAACAATTCGCTAGAGAAAACTGATGGATTCATTACTAGAT